CTCCCCATAGCCCTGTATCAATCCCCAAACTAATCCCACTGCCCCACTCTTTCCCCATAGCCCTGTATCAATCCCCAAACTAATCCCCCAGCAAAACTGGAATTACTGGGTACTAGGACAAACTCTCCGCTGGTTGGAGATGTGAGACATACACAGTTACTTCCCGTGTGAAATTATTGATCTCTTGTCCTTGAGGGAGACTGCGCATAAAATTCTTATCTATGACAAGGTTGGTCTGCTGTGCAGTTGTGACACCCCTGCAGTTGAACAGCTACCTGGTGCACAGTGTCAAGTTGTGGTAATCAGTCCTGTGTGGGTACGCCTCTTTGCTAGGTCTAGTGGCAACTTTCTATCCCAATATAACCCAATCCAACACTGCCAGGGCCTGACAGCTGCACTGTACATACTGGTGCAACTACAGACTGAGGCCACTCGCCCCACTGAGCCCATGCCAGCTAATCATCTATCCTGATTAGTCCCACTTCATTTGCCAACTCTCCCACCAAACCCCCTGCACGTTTCTTACTCGCAAGTGTCGAGGTTCCACTTTACTGACTAGACCCCCCAACATGCCCTCACAGGTGGGCATGAAGAATCCTAGGAAGAACAGGTGGAGGGGATGGGGTGGGGTTGGGCGAGGTGTCTGGTGTCCCGTAAGCACCCCTCAGTCAAATGATCCAGGCTTTGCTTGTTTGTGGGATATTGCTGTGCGCCAAGCACCAGCCGCGTTTCCAGTGGTTGCCCATCAAAATATGGTGTCACGGGTCTTAATGGTAAAATCCTGCCTTTTTGCAAAACGTTGATGTTACAAATGACACGATGTCCAACACTGAGCGAGAATTCTTTTAGACTCCCGTTAAAGCGTAAATCCAATGACTCACCTTGAATGTTTTGATCTCAAAAGACTAAAATAAGAAGAATAAATGCCCATGAAATGTAGATATGAACAACCGTCAGCATCTTGAACACTGGTTCAGCCTTAACTAGAGTATCATGTCCAGTTGTGGGCACTGAACTTTAGGAAGGCTTTGTGGGGAGGATTGCTTATCCAGAGAGCCAGTAAAGGGCTAGATGGGCTGAGTGTTCTCCACCTGCAATGTAACTAATCTGTGAACCTCTAGAAACCACCCTGTGCATGCAATACTTTCAAATGATCATAGAATCACTACAGTGTGGAAACAGGCCCAACAAGTCCACACCGACCCTCAGAGCATCCCACCCAGACCCAACCCCCACCTAATCTATACATCCTTCAACACTACAGACAATTCAGCATTGCCAATCCGCCCTAACCTACACATCTTTGGACTGTGGGAGGAAACCCTCACAGACACAGGGAGAACATGCAAACTCCACACAGATCACCCAAGAGTGGAATTGAACCACTGTGAGGCAGCAGTGCTAACCGTTGTGCCATCGTACCACCCCCTTAAAAGTAAAACTAAAAATGATGAGTAATATACTGTTTCAATTGGGGTCAACCAAAGAAAGTTGGAAACCACTGTTCTGCCATGAGCAAAACATTTAATTAGGTTAGATGGTAGCAAAACACAAATAAGTCAAACATTCAACGGAAACTCACAGAAGTGGAATGGACAATCAGATCAAGACAGCATTGTTAGTGGTGATAATGGAGCTCAGGCCCTGCAGTGTCCACTGGTTCTCAAAAAGTCTCTTATCTCTCTCGATGTAACCACAGAAGAGGGGCTGACAAACGGGAACTGCAACCCCATCAATGGCCTATAGCTCAGACCTTTTGATGGCCAATTTGGCCAGGCCTGGAAGCGGTGAGGAGGTCCAATAAATCTGGGAGCATGGGGCTAGAGTACAATCAGAAATTTAATAGTAACTCTTTCAAAAAAAACTAAGAACCCACTGTCGTACATTCGGAGGTGGGAAGAAACCATTGCCTGGCTGTTTAACATTTCAGGAGAACATTAAAACTGCTTTATTAATGTTAGCAAATTTCCTTTATCTTTTTAAAAAAAGTTCCCAGCTTTCAGGCAGAGCCTGTTCAGCTTTAACACATCAAGAAAAGTACCGAACCAGTTGAGACATGCATTTTAAAAAGAAAATGACGGGGCTCAAATTCTCCTTTTAGTTTCTAGGATTTTACCATTTTGCACAAGCGAGTTTTTTTTTGCAGACTATTTTAATCTCGACACGTGGGTGGCCCTGCCGGACAATGCAAAGGAGAGAGAGAGATATATAGAGACAGAAACACATCAAATGAAGTCGTTTGAAGAGGAGGAGGAGGAAGCTATGGGACTTTCCCAGACACGTGACTTCTTATTAAGGCCGGACGAAATATTTTTCCAGTGCTGAGGGCAGGGTTTACCATCAAACGAAACTGAAGCTTCCTCATAAAGGGGAGCCGGACTGCTCCTGGGTCTCTGGCATCTTCGCAAGAGAGAGCTTCGGCTGAGTGAGAGAGGAAGGGAGCTGTCTCGCCTTTGCAACAGGGAGACAGTTTGCTCCCTTTCTCCGTCTCTCACAGTCCTCCCACCTCAGCAGTATCTTTTTTTCCCTTTCCTTTCCCTATACCTATATGAAGTTTCTCAGCCTCCCCACGCTCTGCAATATGGCTGGTACAGCCTTGGACTTTTCTCCTGAATTTGAAACGGACGATTCCAGCCAGAACTCTGAAAAGGTAAGATACCACCACTTCTCGACCACCAGCAGACTCCTGCACTCTTCACAAGAATCTGGCTGGGAGATAAACCTAACGCCAGGGATCGTGTGGGTTTCAGTGACCCAGTGCCCACACTCAGCAGGCAAAGGGCCAGTGTTAACGTGCTCACAGTGACATTTTCAGTCTGTAATTTTTGGCCCTAAAAGAAAGCGGAGAAATCTGTTCACTGCTCGCTGTGACTGGCATTCTCAGTAGCTCTCTGCAGACAGCTGTCTATCCATGCACTCTGACTCAGTGACAGTGCTGAGGGAGTTCTGCATTGTCGGAGGATCAGTGCTGAGGGAGCGCTGCACTGTCGGAGGATCAGTGCTGAGTGAGTGCTGCACTGTCGGACGATGAGTGCTGCACTGTCGGACGATCAGTGCTGAGGGAGTTCTGCACTGTCGGAGGATCAGTGCTGAGGGAGTACTGCATTGTCAGAGGGTCAGTTCTGAGGTAGTGGGCACTGTCGGAGGGTCAGCGCTGAGGGAGCGCCGCGCTGTCGGAGGGTCA